GGTGGGGGGGGGGGAAGGCAGGGAAATCAAAGGACGTTTTACAAAAAGACTGCTCAGCGGGAAAAAAAAAAAAATAATTATTAGGAGTAGAGCATGAACCCAAGTCTTTCTGCTCTCACTTGTGTTTCTTAATTACTAAACTACAGATTCTGCTCCCCTTCTTCTGGTCATTTAATTTTTAACTCTTATGCAAAGTGTCACGGCTTCAGCTGTAGAGTCAGGAATTCCCAGTCACATAGGTACAAACATCCTAGAGGCCACTAAGCAAAGTTCTCTGACTACCAAGTTGGATAGGTGGAAGGCTGTAACACCACTGCTTGCATTTTGAGCGATAAAGATGTTACTTCATTCTTCACAAAACATACTGGCAATCACTAGGCATTATTTGAAGCATCTGAAGGCTTGTCCTCAGACCAAACAGTAAAAACATCTTGTTTCTGACAAGGTGCAGTAAAATCAAACACACAGCTGCTCAGCCTCAACAATAGCAAGGCAATACTCAGAAGCAGAGATAAGATGACCAAGAAACTTTAGAGTCAAAGATGATTTATCTAAAGACTAAGTCCTCATGATTAAGCAAGAGCTTAATGAAAGTATTAAAGCTGTCACTGTGTTAAGGGGTTTTGACTGTTTTGGGGTTTTTTTTTTTCAAATCTGGATGGGGAATTGAACAGAGAACAAGCACCTTGGAAAATATTTTCTGTGAGGCCAGTGATACAAAGAGTTCACATCTGATGGAGCTGGGGTTCCTTCAAGCACTGACAGTGACTACAGCACAACTCATGTCTCCCTGTCGTGCAGCATTTGATCCTGAAGATTTCTTATTCATAGGGAAGAAGTTATTGCGACATATAGTCAGACCTTTCTCACTACTTCAATCCTCATCCAAATCTGCATGGACAGAAAACTACTATCTGCTAGTAACTCCACAGCCTCTGTGAATCTAAAGCAGTGACAATTGTTATGAAGCACCTGAAAAGACTACAGAATAAACCAAGTGCTCCCTGCCCTTCAAAAATATAATAAACATTCTTGGTAAGACAGCATAAACTGTCAAAATCCTGGAATGAAGAATCCTTCTTTATACTCTGCCAGCAGTAAACTTGCAGAAACTCAGAATTTCCTCCCCAACAAAATCACTACAGTGTAACATGTCCATCTTGCTGGGGAAGTCTTACACAGATTTATGCAAAGTTCAACGCCCAGCCAGTGGAAGAGAAAGTTTTCTGGATCTTCATATCATCACTTGAAGGACAGAGGCAGACTGAAGTATTCAGTGAGCCATGACAAAACATGCTGTCAACTGTTTAGAACATGTTTTCATGCATGCTCTGTACTTTCCTACTGCTCCAGAAGTTACTTTCTGCGGCATACACACTGGCTAGTTTGCCACCACCAGCCTTACTTTCAAAAATGGAGGAGGCAGGGGCAGTCACCAGTACAAACATTACCTTATCTCCTTCTCTTTAATCTCATTCTTGAAAACCTGTCTTTGGTCTCAATCACAGCTTCAAAAAAAACCAAAAAGCAACAAGCAACAGCAACAAGCAACAGCAACCCCAAAACTTTTAAGTTTCATTAAATTTAAATTGAAAAATATTCAAAGGCATGGAAAGACCCAACTGTCATGAAGAAAAGCAGCAGACAAACTGGTCTGTTTCATGCTTATTTTCCAGGTACAGCATATAGGATTGAATGTTTGCAAAAAGACTTAAAAAATACCAACAGTAAGATTTCACGCATTCATTTTTAATACTGGCTCTTTTTCCTTTAATAGCTGTGCTCCGATCATACTTTCCTTAATTGTCTGAATGAAGAAATACAGTATGCTTACACACTCATTAAACATGGACACGACACAAAAGCTGCACACATGCTGGAGGACAGGAATAAGATCAAAATTATTTCAACATATAAAACAAAGATCAAGAAAAATGAAATTTCAGTGGATCCCATGAAAGGTAACACACTCAGGAAAATACGACAGATTGCATAAACACAGCATGAGGAACACATTTCAAGCAAGGCACCTTCAAGTGAGAGGGTAACAACTCAGCAAAACTCTACTACAGCACACCATTACGAAAACGTAGATACCATGCCATAATCCACAACAGCAGAATACCTATCAGGGTACAAATCCTTGCGCTCTTGTAAGTATGCATGTTAATGTCCCTGATGGAAAACTCTTCTCCATTTCGGCAGTGCAATTCCAGAAAGACACAGAATGAGTGAAGTCAGAACAATCCAGGGAAAAGTACTATAGACCCATTGAATAGGACCCACAGAGAAATATGGAAGAATTGGGTTTTCAGTCTAAAAGAAAAGTGCAAGGGAAATACACTGTTACAATTTCAATTTGTAAAAGGTTGCAGTTAAGAGGAAGAGAATAATCTTTTTTCCATGTCCACTGATTAGTGAGGTAATACTGCACCAAGACGTACAGAAGTCAGACAGGGAGAACCCATCTAGTGCTAGGAACACTAGAGCACTAAAGCTATGGAGTCCTTGTCACAAAGCCTTTAAGAACATGTTAGATAAGTACATCGGGGATTGGTTGTTTTGGAGTTTGTTCGTTTGCTAAAATGAATCTATACAGTCATTAAGAACCATAGGCAAGAGGTAAACTGTATCCAAATTATTCCGCTTACCAAATATAACAACTTCTTTTAAAGCACCAGCAGTTCCAAACCACTTATTCTTACCTCTTGGCTTCCTCCAGGTGACAAAGGTACTCATAGGCTACATTCTGGCGTCGCCTTTCATCCATTTCCTCTGCTGTCAATCTCTCGTTATCCAAGACAGCTGCAAATAGCCAAAACACACCCTCAAGTGGCTGAAGACTGAATGTAACTGTACAGATACACCAAAAATCACATACAACCTTTCCCACAGAAACTCGGCACAGGTTTGGGGTTTTTTTCAGGGAAATTAAGGATCAAATATATCTGTTCTTTACAACGAACAAAAGAGGCCCAGTTTCCCTACCCTTCCTTGTCACATAAACTTGCCATCTTATCTCTTTCCGATTTCTCAATTTGACTGTGATACAACTTCTTCCATCTTCCAGCTGCTTAGAAACACTCCTTCATTTTCTTATTTTCTTCTAGCTTTGCCTTTCTCTTCCCCAAAAGCACACCAGTGACCACATTGTCCTCCATCTATCCTCCAATTTTAGTAGTCAAAGATTAAGGAAGGTTGACAATATGTATTCACTTCATATAATCCCTTCTATATCGTTATAGTCCACCTCTAAAAAACATGGAAATGGTACTCACAATCCTCATCTGGGACAGTCTCACTCAGACCCACAACCCATGCACCATCTTCAGATCAAGCTACAGACTTACATAGATATATATGCCTAAACCCGCCAGATTCCGTGCTTAAAGCCCCACTGGCAAAATCTGCTCTTCCCACTCTTACAGCTAAATACCTCATTCATTCTCTCATGAGGAGAGAAAAAACGAGAGAAAAAAAAAAACAACTTTTTAAGTTTCATGGACCAACTCGCCAAATACAAGTGGCTCATGCAATTATTAATCCACGGTTAGCTTCAAATACCTTCAACAAATACATGCAAGTCATCAAGCGATGAGGCATCAACCACAGCATTTGGGATCAAACAAGATCTTGCTTCAAACTGTAAAGGGTCTCTTAAAAAACAGGCTGAAGTACCACAAAAGCATCTTCCCGACTACTCCAACCCGCACCCGAAGCTAGAGGAGCTGAAAACAGACTCAAACCGCAGGGTAACGCCTACCAGGAAGGAAAAATTCCCTCCCGACGCTCCGGGTCAATCCTCCCGTCTAACATCAGGCCGAGGGCCCTTCCCGCAGCCCGGCCCGGCCGACCGGCGCTCACGTTTCTCACCCGCAGCGCCATAGTTTCCCCGCCTTCGCTCATTTCTGACGTGGTGTCGTAGCACAGGCGAGCATCCATCTCGGACACCTCG